TGCTGACACATGAATGTGTTTGGTATCCATGTCCAATGACCTCAGAGTGCCTATACATGAGCAGGGAGGCTGCTCCAATGTGCTGTAATTCCAGTCCATCAGAGCAGACTTGATTAATCAAGTCTGCTGGTATGTGGCAGTTACTGTGCTCCAAGAGCCTCCCACGTTTCATGTATCAGTGTCCCTGTGCTTCAAAATGGTAGGAGGGGTACTTCATCTAAAGCTCATTTGATGAGCTTTAGATAAAGTGCCCCTGCCACCATCTTGCAGTGTGGGACACTGACACATGAGACTCTCCAGGCACTTTAATTAGAGTGGCTCTCAGAGCCACTCTAATTAAAGTGCCCCCTCTCCCCCACTCCTGGAGAGCATTTATAAATGATCTCAAATATCATTTCATTCTGACATAGCCTAATACAGTGTGTAAGACCCAATTTTGCCATCATGTCTGCAATGTTTGAGAGATCCATGGAAGAAAATGGGACGTGTTTGTCCAAGAGGTGCAAAAAATCCCAAACATCTTTATATTGTATAGATCCATCTGGGTGGATTTCAAACCAGTTTGGGGTGTGTAACAGTTGACATTTGATAGAATAATTTAAATGTTTGAGCCTTCTCAGATGTGTAGCCAAAAGAGAACAGTGAGGTTGCATGTGTTTTTAAAACATCAAGTTGCCTAAGATTAGTATGCAAAGTTTAAGACTTGGTGGTACCTGTGAACTTGTCATATTCCCTTCAGGACTTGGAGAATTTCAAAGCCCATGTACATCTTTCCCCCTGGCCCCCCAAAATGTGGTATTTTAAAGTTATTATTTTGAATGTATGCGTGTCTTAATTTTAGTACAGGTACTCCTCACTTAACATTGTCCCTGTTACCATTGTTTCATTATTATGTTGCTGATCTATTGGAGAACATACTCATTTAAAGTTGTGCTATGTTTGGTTATAATGTTGTTTAGCTGCCGCCTGCTAGCAGGCATGTACTGTGACGTAATTGGATTCACTTAACATTTTTTCACTTAGTCACATTTTTCAAGAACATAACTATGACATTAAGCGAGGAGTAGCTGTAATTCAAAAAACATAATATAAGTTAGGTTAACAATAACGTGGCAGTAAGGCGTGCAAGCTTTGTTTGATGAGATAAAATAAATGTTGCTTTACTTTACAGACCTCAGGCCCAAGACATTATATTTCCTCTTCTAAAATTTGCCTATCCAGAGTTTTTAAAGGGATAGTATACATTTCTGGATAGAAACTTTAAAAATAAGTTTAGCGTCATAGCTTTTAACTTTTAAAATAAGTTTAGTGTTGTTACCATAAATATTTATTGGAAAGTAGTTTTCTTCAGTGTCTTACTATGTGTAACTCCAATGATCTCATTGTTCTCCTAGAAAAAAATACAAGAGACTGAGAATAGGACTGGCAGCCAGGAACGTGAGAGTTAAATTATAAACTCTTCTACTAGCTCACTTTGAAGCTTTGAGCAAATTATTTACCTCTCTGTAAAATGGAGGTGGTAAAGATTTGCCAACTCTTGGGAGTGTTGGAGGATTAATTAGTTAATGTTTATATATCACTTCTAAAGATGCAAAGATATACAAGTGCTAATTATTTTAATTGTTTGAATACTCTGTGCATTGTTGTTTTTGTTATTGTTTAGAGGTATCTTCTAAACTACTGGCATTTCAGCAAAACATATTTACTCACCACTTACTGTTGGAGGGGGAATGGCTTAGCGGTCTAAACATCACCCCTTTTGAAATACCTGAATTCCCTGCAACTGGATTTGACTCTTAAAACAGATGCATCAATCTTCCATTCTTCCATGGTATATAATATGATTTCTATTAAATTTCCTTTGTGGTGATGACTTTGGTGAAGTTTAATCTACTTTCCATGGATGCTTAAGATTCTCTAGCTAAGTACAGATGTTCAAAAAGTCCCAAGCAGAAGTGCTTTAACTATTACACTTTACTTAAAGTGCTCTAAGTTAGAGCAGGAATGAATTAAACAGACATTCACTGTTTGGGTTGGGCTTGGTGCCTGCCTACACTGGCTAAGGCCAATAGGTGGGGGGTGCTCCCACACACTTCCCAGGAAGCTGCCAGAGAAACCCCTCCCCAGCTGTACCCCTCTTTCAGCTGGCAATTATCTGCAGTGGCTGGGGGGTAACACAGCCCTCCTGCTGTGAGAGCCCCCCCACACTTGCTGGCTGGGGTCTTGGGGGGGAGAGTGTGCATGGCAGGGAGTTCCCTTCCCCCCCCCCCTCCGGCCTCTTAACAGCTGCAGCCAGGAGCTGCAGCACAGGGCTACTGGGCCTGGCTTTTTCTGCATCAGGAACTGTGGCTGGGGTGGGGGGAGCGAGCCTGACTGCCACACAGACAGCCCCCCCACCCCAAGAGCCCAGCCAACAAGCTGTGTGGGGGCCCCTCATGGCAGGGGAGCTCCTTTCCTTCCCACCCCAGTTCCCTGCATGGGAAAAAGACAGGATGGCAATGCCATACTGCAGCTCCTGCCTGCAGCTGTTGAGGCCAGGGTGGAGGGGTAGGGAGCCCCCTGTCATATGGGCCCAGCCCAGCCCCCTCCCCCTTAAGACCCCTGCCAGCAAGCTTTGGGGGGTCCTCATGGTGGGGGTCTTTTACCCCCACACACCCTGAGCTTCCTGACAATGGCAGCCAGCAGCTGCAGCATGAGGCTGCCTGGCCAGGCTTTTCACTGTGCTAGGAACTGGGGGGGTTGGGAATGGAGTCTCTCTTCCACACAGACCCAGCTTGTCCCCACCAAGACCCAAGCCCACAAAATTAGGGTGGGGGGAGGTCAATGTGGCAGACAGGCTCCATTTCCCTACCCCCTTGCCTACCTGTGCAGGGAGGAAACGGCCTTTTCTGTCTCCTCTCTGTGACAGCCTAAGGGCAGGGCTGGGTCAGTGCTCACCGGAGCAGGTGAATACTGGATGAGGCTAGCAAGCTGTCTGATGAGGCCCCTGGGATCATGCTAGAATGTGACCTACATTGAAGTGCATTGGATGTGGTACAGATGTTAAACAAAGTGCTCTAACCTAAAGCACTTTAATGCCACATCCATCAAGGATTAATTTAGAGCAGGATCCACCATTTTTAAAGTGCTTGAAGTGTTGTGAATATCTGTTCTGATGTGGCTTTAAAGTGCTTTCTGTGCAGTTAATGTGCATTAAGTGTAATGTCTGCACCTACTCCCTGTCTCTTTCAGAAAACAAAGATTTTGTTCTTAACTGAAATTACTTTGCATTAAGTAGTATGAGCACCATTTAGCTCATTGGCTGCTATTAGTTACCCCAAACAGACAAGATTTAAAGAAATGGGATAGTGCAGTTCACACCAAGCTCCAAACTACAGTCAACATACAATGCAGAGGTTAAGAGCTCATCGCTTTCCTGGGGTCCCACTTGCATTAACAATATAGACTCCACCTCTAATTGTGTTCCAAGTTCCTCTTTTACAATTGCTTAGTTTCAGACTCCAACCAGGAGGCTCAGTTAGCATCTCCATATAAGGTTTCAAGATCTGCTGGCAGGGTGGGTCCACAGAAGAGACCAAACACATGGATATACACCACAGTTATCCCCTCTCTCTGCCCCCCTAAATCTCCAAAATAGAATGGCCTGTTATTCCATGAGAAAAAAGATACTTTGGTCTGCCTATGTAAGGAATGAGAAAAGGTTAATGGGTGATACAGTGCTCACTAATATACTAGCACTGAAGTACAAGGACATGACAGCCCTCCAAGTCAATGGCTACAAACTGCTTCTTCCCCTCTGTAGCATGGGAATGAAGTGGTTTTTTTTCCAAGCACTCTATCAAGCCACAGAACTGACAGCCTCAAATGGTTCTAAATCTTTTAGCTCTATTTCTAAAAATAGAAATTTGAAGAACCTAATTTGGAAAGTCATTAAAGCCATGATATTTATCTACATGGAAATCAAAGTTCAGTGCAACAAATAACCTCTTTCTGGGTTAGGGCTACATGAATTTTCACCCTTTCTTTTTAAAAAAAAAATATTTTTAAGTGTCTTCTCAATTTATCTTTTCTGCTTGTTGTAAGAATGGTTTACAAGTACCAATTACAAATTTTGCTAAATGGGGAAAAAGAGCAGTGTCCAGTGTATTTTACTGCTTATTGCAAGGCTTTTATTTATATAAAATAAATAATAAAAAAAAAAAATTAATACTCCTTCCCAGAGCTTTTGTGGTTCCTTGCTTAGGAATTGGTTTAGTTATAGTTAGGGTATTTTTAAGTGAGGGTGACATTGGTAATAATTCCCAGAGGAGAGTGGATGGTTCTGTAATCTTTTAATCTTTATCTTTCAATTCCCTTTTGAATCCACATAGAAGTAATTTCACATTTCGCTTTGGAAGAAAGTGATGATTTATGGGGAGGCATACCTTCTGTAGTGAAGGCTGGCAAAGCATGCCCCTTCTGGGACCAGAGGCTTCAGAAGGTTGAGATGGGAAGGTTCCTGTTTAAGTTTTGTTGCAGGAGCATGGAGTCAGGAGTGTGTGATCAATGTGTTTTTCTGCAGAGAACAATAATTACAGTCCACTAACTTTCTCCTGTAATCATGACAATTGATTAAGTTGAAAGGTTTCAGCAGTGTCTCAGCATAAGAGAGCCTGTAGTTAGAGACTTAAATTGTCTGTGAAGTGAAAACTAGCTTAATTAATAATAAGCTTGAAAGGAAGCGCATTCATTCTGGCAAAAATTAATCAAGGGAATATCAAGTCAAAGCTTTAGTATGATCTTAACTGTGTTTGGCAGAGTAGCTGTTGTTATGGCTTTATTTCTGTCATGTTTTAACACTCAGCTTGTCATAGTATAACTCTAGCTATGTCATTTCAAACTAGGATGTCAAGTATATTGTGGAAAGCAACCTTTATACTTTCTGTTTCTCAGGATTTGCTGACAGAGCAGCAAAGTTACCAGAAATCATCTTTCTCTCACATTGCATTTTTATTCCACAGATACTACTAGCTTATTGAACAATCCATCGACCCTTCTGTAGTGAGTCCGCTTAGTGCAGAATGGCTGCAGGGAATCTATTCAGACATCCCAGTAGAAAACTACACAGACTGGAACAAATCCCTTCCAGATTTAATACAGGTGTGTGAAAAATGTTGGGAACATGACTCATTATTGATTTTACATTAATGTTTGACAAGTAGAGTGGGGGGAATATTCCAGTGACTATTACCCACAAGATGTATAACATTATATAAAATAAATGTCAGAGCTTACCCTTTCTAAAACCTCTAGTCTTCAAAAGTCAGCAGTTAACTTGAAGGTTTTGAAATCTGAAGTATTTTCTGACAGAGTATGCATTAATAAATATGTCCTGAAATATTTATTTAAAAAATTGTTTAAAAATGTATAAGGTTTTCTCTGCTCCTTATTGATGTTTATAAGGGTCTGTTTGGTGAGCAAAAGTGCAAAATGCAACCCAAATGCTGCAGCTCATTCCTCCCTGCATGGCATGCACCTTAAGGCTTGCTTCATTTTTTACGTCTTTATTTTCTGTACCTCCTTCAACTTTGCAGATGTAATTATAGCTTGCTGTTCCATTTTTAGAGATTAGAATTCAAAATTATTAGACTTAAAAATGTAGAGGCCTATAAAAATTACAGTAATTAATTTTGTATAGTTGTTGTTTTTATTTTCCTGGGCTTTTTCATGCTTTGAAACTTTTTTCTTTTTCTTTTTTTAATAACCACGAGAATTACAATTATGGCTTAGTGAGGGGGGGTAAGGTTTGGGAGGCATGGGGAAAGGAAGCTGTTATTCTCACATTATCATTTAATTCTAGATGTTAAAACATGTAAAATCCAGGAAAAGGAAGAAAAATACACAAAAAAAATCACGATGCTAGTGATAGAGGGAGGGATTTCTTGAGGTCATATCTTTTATTGGACCTACAATGTAGTTGGGATAAGTTAGACTAGCTTTCAAATGCAAGACATTCTTTCTGGACCATCACATCTACAGCATCACTGTTACATTACCTAAGACGCATGTTAAAATTGTCTCTCTGGAATGCAGATTAGCATTGTCAAATTAAAAAATGTATGGTGGAATATTCAAAAGCATGATTAGTGTTGAATGAATGCTGGTCATTGAAGTGAATGCGAACTTTGAAAATCTCACCCAAGATTTTCAGGTGTCTCTTCTGTAACTGCTAAACTGTTTCCATTTAAAAAAAAAAAAAAAAAAAAAAAAAAAAAAAGTTTTTTTGTTTTTTTTTTAAAGGAAAACATTTTAGCATTTAAAAAAAAAACCCTTTTTTAAAAAAAAAAAAAGAAGTCTATATGCTTTTTCTGATTTAAAAAAGTGTTTTTTTTTTTAATTGAAAACATTTTAGAATTTAAAAAAAAAACCCTTTTTTAAAAAAAAAAAAAGAAGTCTATATGCTTTTTCTGATTTAAAAAAGTGTTTTTTTTTTTAATTGAAAACATTTTAGAATTTAAAAAAAAAACCCTTTTTTAAAAAAAAAAAAAGAAGTCTATATGCTTATTCTGATTTAGACAAGTGCTTTTTTTTGTAATTGTTAGAGTTTTTCCAATATGTGAAATTAGTGATAATGAAAGGTGCATTGTTAGTAGTGGTCAAATTTTTTGCCCACAGAATAAGTAGAATATTCAATAGCAAAAATACGAGCCTCTCCACTTTTACTTTGCCAGTGAACCTTTGTTTTGATATTGAAGAACCAATGGAAAGGGAGAAGAGTGCTTTTTTTAGTATACATTCTTCTTCAGGTTTCTGGTCAGACTCTCTACAAGGGTGATGACAAACATCATTTGGTCATGGGGACACTAGTTCACTGACAAATGAATGTGAATGGTATATCTAATTCAATTTTTACCACTTGGCCATCAAGTAGCGAAATATTTTGCTTACCACTGACCTGGTCTGCGTCCTAAACTGTCACCTAGAGCAGCGATTCTCAGCCGGGGAGAGGGTGCCATGGCACCCTGGACTGCCGTGACCACTTTTGAAGGGTTCAGCAGGGAAGAGAGGAGACCTCCTTCCTGGTCTCTCTTCAAATCGGTATGCACTATAATGAATAAATAATTTTTTGAAACAAGGTGCTGCTCAGTACACAGAAGTTCTGGAGGGGTACCTCAAATCCAAAAAGGTTAAGAACTACTGTTTTACGGATTCATTTCCCCAAGTTGCTGAGCACTTTCTGCTTTTAGTGAAATCAGCAGGAGTTATGAGAGCAGAGCACCTCCAAGAAATGTTCAGTACCTTGTAGGAAAGAGACCTAAATCCCCGTTTTTTCTATGAGTAATCTATGCTCCTCAGGGCACTCCCACTCTTCCTCTTGCTCTCACACTCTTTGTTAAGATTAACAAGAGTAACCTGAATGGCCAACAGCATTACATTTTAGAATTTTTGGCTTCTCATATACATAGTGTGCTCTTGAGGAATCGAGGAGGGAAGGAATCGTGGCACTCTCTTCAGCATTCATATATGATTTTCTAAAATTATCTCCTCTTTTAGCATATAGTTAGATGCTTTTCTTTTTTTTTTAACTTTAAGACCTTTGTAACTGCTGATGTCATATCATCTCTTTGAAAGCAAGGCAAGGGACTATAAATCCAATTGCTCTGATACAGTATAAAGATACTAGCAAAAATAATTATGATAAATGAGTTAAACCTGACATAGTATAGAAACATTACGAGATATTTCCAAAAGCTAGACCTGACTTTTGACAAGGTTTATGGAGGTAATGTATTGAAAACTTGAACAACAAAGAAACATGAAGAAGGAATGTCTTTAATAATCTGTTTTCAGCAAATACTTAAAAATTCTTACATGTTATTTTGTGATTTAGGAAATGACATGGCATGCTTTAAATAACTATACATTCTTTGTTACATTATGTTGCTGCATAGGAACACAGGACATCTACAGAGGTGCAATAAGGAAGGAATGCATGGGCTACATAATACTGGATCACACAGAACAAGAAAGCCTTTGTTTTGAAATGCCTCATAAGTAAGTAAATAAAGGAAATGATCCTTTCCATGGCTGAAGAAATGCAATACAAATTTAAGGTTAAATTGTTACAATAAGAATTCTGGATACTATTCTGTTTTATTATTTTCTCTGATAAATTGTTTGGGTTAAAATGCTTTTCACAAAACAAGATGGGACAGAAAGCTTGTACAAACTTTCTATATTTTTTTTAAAGGAGAGATTCACCAGTGTTGTTGTTTTTTCCCAAGAATCTACCCACACCAAATAAAAATACACTGATATATAAAATATAGTTTCTCTATGTGTTTTAGATTTTTCTCTGGTGTGCCAATACTTATACTGAATATAATACTGAACATATAATTTTTTTATCTATCAAACAATGGTTCTCTAGCATGAAAGTATGAATTGTGCACAGAGGCATCTGAAGAATGCTTTAGAACACTTTATTAATCACTCATCCTGTTAAGCTTGTAACATTTCTCTGGAAGGTAAGAAATTTGCTTTGAGGTTTTTTATGCAAACAGGAAAAGAAACAATGCTCCTTTATTCAAATGTATCATTTTTCAAAGAAAAAAGTAGATGCATCAAATATTTTTCACTAAGGAAAAGTCTTAAGAACAGGTAAACATGAAATACTTCTTTGCTTTCAAGATATGCATATGTTACCTATTTATTGCAAGCATGCATGCTGTAAAGTCCAGTTCTCCTGTTCTTTCTACTTGCAACTTTCACATTTAGAAAATTTCCAGGTAAGAAGCTGTGTATAATATAGGAAATGCATTAGTAATGTTAGTCTAATGTATTGTAGCATGTCCAAGAGAACAAAGTTGCTGTCACTCCTTTAATGCCTTTTGGGAGAAGGTGGGGAATAAGTCCTTTTTGAATAGATGTTTTCCCGTATGCCAGACACCCCCAAGTAAGACATGCACCTTGTTTTGGGGAAGGCAAAATGAAGATTTTTTTTTTTCAGAGTTTATGGTTGCATAGAGCAGGGCACAGTATAATTTTGAGGTCACTCACCCTCCTATTCCTACTCAGGCAAAAGCTACAGTTTTAACCCTTTCAAAGCTGAATTGTCAGCAGCTCTTGGCTATTCAGCCAAAGGCTGGAACTGTAGGTTGGTGAAGACTAGATGCCATGGGCAGATCTAGGATTTTGAAGATAACTAAAAACAATCTGCGGGGCTGAGCTATAGGAGGAGAGAGACAAGGAGTAACTAACGGACAGCAAAATTGCCAAAGAAAGGCTAACTTGATTAGTGGAACATCAAGACCATTAAAAAGAAAGGGTTGTTAATATCTGTGGAATGAAGAGCAATTAGCAGGAATTGGGTAGATTATAATGAAAACAGAGTAGATTTGTACTTTATTAGAGACTAACTAAATAAGTGGAGTGTATGTGTTTACAGCTTGTGCGTGTGCACGCGCACACACCCCCATATGTTTTTTGTCAGGTGAAACTCACTTTGTCAGATGTAGTGATCTACATCTCTGAGATGATAATGAGCCATGAAATCAGTTGACCCTCTTAGTGCTGTCTGAATTGAAATGCCAATGCTGCTGCGGGACAGTTGGTTTTAAACTTTACGTAGAGCAGGAAGCAAAGCGGGCAGCTACTGCACTACTGTCCTCTCTCATCCCCCACCTGCTGGACTCTGCCCCCGCTCCATGTGGCTACTGGAAGGAAAAGAAAGGAAGGAAGGAAAGCAGCAGCCATTTTATAGCATCTCCATGCTTCTATTCTATGCAGAAAATCAGCTTCCCGGTTTAAGACATGCACACCAATTTTAGAAGGTTGTTTTTTGGGGAAAAGGTACACGTGGCATACAGTGAAATAGAATATAACCTTTTACTGCTTCTCCTCTTGTTATCAAATTATATACTGCACAACACTGAGAACCCCTGTCAGGTTTTAGCCTATGATTCTAGACAAGGTAGGTAGTTGCATGATTTCAATTACCAAAAGGACCTGTTATCCTTCAGGAAGTGTTGTTGAAAGACTGTTGTTGCATTAATAACAAAAACAGGAACAATATAGATTCCCTGATGTCTCAGGATGATGAGGCAAGACTGTAATTTCCCTTAGGAAAAGGTTTCATCTTATTTATTTTTTAAACCTAGTTTTGCATTTCCTTGTTTGCCACAGGCAAGTGTAATACGCTCAAGTATAATGTACAAATTGCAAACACCAGCTCACTTTTAAATGGCTGAATATGTTCAATGCCATATGATGGCAAACCTGCTAGGGGTGCATTATTTCAAGCAGATATTTCTGTTTTGTAGTATGTCTACTTAGGCTTATTATACCTCTCTGTTTAATAGTACCCAGTATATATGATGATGTACACAATATGCTAATATTGTTCTAAAGGAACAAATGTATATATCATCAAGAAGAGTAGCTTTATATCTTTGTTGTGGGGAAAAATAACATAATTACTACTAATTCATAGCCAGAAATAGAAATTGATGAGGTGTATGTATATACATGTTTGGCAGTAACGTAGAGGAATTTTAAAGTTGATGTATAACATGATTTAGTGATGCTTACATTATAATCGCATACTTTATATTTTACTGATGTAGAATTTAATGCTGCAGTGGCCTAGCCTGGGGGAAAAGACTAGCAAGTTTGTCCAGTTATGTTTAACAGGTGCCAAGGGAGCAAGGAGACTTAACCAGCACAAGAAATAAGTAGAACTCAATAGGCTTACTTTTACAGTTCTCACTCACAAGTAATCTAATAATCACTAACCCTTTCTTTCAAATAGAACCAGTTGCTTTTGTAATGTATTACATTGTTTTCATATTTACTTATTATGTGGCCCTAGCATTACTCAAAAATATTAACATTTTAATATTGTGTCCATAGTTTGTTCTTGAATAATATTTGAGAATCCAATTTATTAAACTGTCATATCCATAATGCCTTAATTAATATTAATAATAGAGAATGCTTTAGAAAAATACATAGCTGAAATCTTGTAAGAGTAATATACGTCCACAATATTCATTCCAAGTGATGTGTTTACATAACTGAGGGGTATTTTTCTGGAATGGCCCATGGTCAGGCAGGCAGTTACCTTTTGCCACCACTTTTACAGTTTTACTGGTAATCAAGATAGTGATATACAACTTGACTTTCAAAACCAACATAGTGTAGAGGGAAAGATCTTAGTCAGCATCTAAGGTTCTGCTGCTTACGTGTTGCAGTGTCTAAAATTTAGACACCTTTGCCCTGTGAGTGACCCTCACTGATAGGAGTGAATGCTTTGATATGGTGAATGGGGAGACCTAGGTGCCTCCTGAAGCCATTTATTTAGTCATCTGGCAGGGAGACACTTGCAGCAAGCAAACAAGAATGCCAAAATAGAGGGGTGGGTCTGTCCTAGCTCTTTGGAGCTTAGGCATTTGACTCTGGTCTGATGGCCTATTGGGATCCAGATCACCTAGAGCAGATATGCCTGCCTGAAACAGGACTGCTATTAACATTGGCTTCAGGTTAAAGCCATAGTACACCAGCTTCATTTTTGAGTATGGCCAGGAGGAGCCTACCTTTTGGTCCCATAGGTAGTAAGAATACTTACTTAATAAGTGGGGATGCCTGGGTTCTAGGACCTTCTTGGGCTGAAAGGACTCAAACCTAGAGCTCCCACCTCTCGGGGGAGGTACCCTAACTGCCAGACTAAAGTCGGCCCTCCACCCTTCTTATTGAAGCTGTCCTATCTGGCAGGCAAGACTACAACGTTCATGGGGCCAGAAGGAGGGAAACAAAATGGGAAGCCTAGCTATGTAGCACAGTGAAAAGGGCAGTCCTATGAGACTAGGCAGTTGTGGCCTAGCCCCTACTGCTAGGTTTATTTCTGTTTTTTTTTTTTAACTGATGATTGAATAATGTAAAATGCATAAACACTGCTAGGAGTCAGCAAGCATGACTCCTTGTGGCTTTCAGTACCTGTTGCCAGGACTGCTTATACATTTTACATTAAGCAGTCATCAGTTAAGTCATTGATTAGATGCCTATGAGATCAATTAGGAGCTGACCTTCAGTGTTTGAATATCTGTGTCTTAGACAAAGAACGTAATACTAAAGAATATATTATATTGTGGGGTCACTATTTACTGTACCTGAACAATATTAGGTTAGGAATTATGCAGTTAAAAAATTGCCTTCTTTTAGGTTGCTGCTTATTATTTAATTGATTTCCCCTCCCTTTATGGTACGTATTTGCTTTTCCTACTTCATTCTGGTTGGGGAATGTAAAATAGTTTTGTCTGGCTCCACTAATACAAGCCTACAGGTTTTTTCAGGATAAACATTTCAAGCAAATGTCCAAATGTAAGGAAAATTTTTTACTGACTTTTTTTTAAGATAATATTTTGTTTACTATTAATTTATGTAATTTAAAAAAAACTTGCTCTTTCTCTGGATTCAACCATTTTTTCTAAATGCCTTAATTGGTCAGAGGCTCGTATCTGCAAATAGTGTCTTATGTATACATTTTAAATGAAGCTTGCACATAGAGGATAAAATTAAAAGCATCTCACTCAAGTCCCTTTGAAAGCGAATGAATGCCTTAGGCTCTTCTAAAAATGTTACCTGTATTGCTAAATCAGTGAGGGAGACATTAAAATATTTTACATTACAAAACTTTCATTACGTTATAAAATAAGTTGAAATATTTCATTCTTTAGAAATGTGATGTTAATTTTAAATATGATCATTAATTTAAAGGGATGAGCAAATGGATCTGAAATTCACTTAACTGTCCAAAGGTAAATTTTTGACATTCCAAATATAAACTTGAGTTAATCCTCTTGGCTTTTGAAATTTCTGTTCTAGGAAACATTGTGCTGGGGCTGGGGGAGCAGGGATATTTTTTTGCTCATCATTGTCCTTTCGCTCTTTCTTGCATGTCTGTCCTTTCTTCTTTTATCTTTGTCTCTGCTTCTTAGCTCTGTCCAACAGCTGGAGCACGGAAAATAGTGCTAGAGCCTTTCATAGATGTGCT